CCTTCCAACTCTGTTATTCTGTATTCTGACGGGGTTGGACTAGAAGAGCTCTTAAGGTCCCTTCCAACCCTTGTTATTCTGTAATTCTGTCAGGGTCTCCTGCTTGAGCAGGGGGCTGGACTAGAAGACCTCTTAAGGTCCCTTCCAATTCTGTTATTCTGTATTCTGACAGGGGGTTGGACTAGAAGACCTCTGGACCTCCCTTCCAACTCTGTTGTTCTGTAATTCTGTAAGCCTGCCTATAACAGGCCCGCAGTCCCGCCAAAGCCACCCAGCACCCAGCCAGAGAGGAAGAGGAGGCCGGCCGAGGTGCCTCTTCCGGGAGCCGAGAGCTAATCTCCAGAAAGCAGAAGGCTCTGGGGGGAAGCGAGGGCCCCTCGCCCGTCAGAAAGTGTCACCCGCCACAGCTTTGCGGTCTCGGCCTCGGTCGGTTTCCTGGGGCAGGGAGGTGCCCCTCCCCCCGCCCCTGGCATTCTTCTGGCAACCTTTTGCCTTTCGCCTACTGCTGGCCGGTCTCGGCTTTCCTGGTTCAGCCCTCCCATCCCTGAAACACAGGACAGAATCGTTTTAAGGCTGGAAGGGACCTCGGAGGTCATCTAGTCCAACCCCCCCATCCCACACACACACACGCGCACACTGCACCGGGCGGGAGACCATCGATCAAGGTGGTTCTAGGCTTCCCATTATTGGTTTGGTGACCACTCGAAGTTAGAACGGCGCTGGGGGAAAAAGGGACTTGGGTCCGTTTTCTCACACTTAACGACCGTTTTAGCGACGGTCAAAAATTCAGGCCTCTGGCAATTGACTCATCCTGGTGACGGTGGTGTCCCGTGATCAACTTTTGCCACTTTCGGACAAGCCAAGTCAAGGAGAGAAGTCCGATGCACGTAACAACTGTGTCTTCAACAATTGGACAATCATTTGTCTGGAATGGGATATGGTTTTCTGCTCAAGCAGCGGGTTGGGCTGGATGACCCCCGAGGTCCCTTCCAACTCTGTTATGCTATTCTGTTAGTTTAATGAAAAGGAGGACTAGGGGGGCGACATTTTATTTATTTATTTATTTTTATTTGTGCCAATTGCTTACAAGATAATAGGTATAAGTAAAAACATAGTTATGAATACATGGATACATATAAGAAAAATAAAAAACAATAGGACAGGGACGGTAGGCACGTTGGTGCACTTATGCACGCTCCCTACAGGCCTCTTAGGAAGTGGGTGAGGTCAATAGTAGACAGTCCAAGGTTAAAGTTTTTGGGGTTTGGGGAAGAAACCCCAGAGCCAGGTAGAGTATTCCAGACATTGATCCCTCGGTTGCTGAAGTCGTATTTCCTGCAATCAAGTTTGGTACCGTTAATCTTGGGTTTGTATCTATTGTGTGCTCTTGTGTTGTTATGGTTGAAGCTGAAGTATTCATTGACAGGTAGGACATTGCAATGGATGATTTTATATACTATACTAAGATCGGACCAAAGGCGGCGTAGTTGTAGGTTTACTAGGTGTAGAATTTCGAGTCTGGTGGCATCAGGTCTTCTGCAACGAGTAGAGGAGTGGAGATATGATAGCCGTCTTCCAATATTTGAGGGGCTGCCCCAAAGAAGAGGGGAGTCAACTTATTCTCCAAAGTACTTGAAAGCGGGACAAGAAGCAATGGATAGAAATTAATCGAGGAGAGAAGCAACCCGGAATGAAGGAGAAATTTCTTCCTCCCCAGGGCAAACAAAGGCTCGTTTGCAGAGGAGGCTCGGGTGCAAATAAACTCCCCGGTGGAGCCAAGGTCAGAGTTTTCCACTGGTTGTGCTGAGAAGGGCTCCATGGGTGGGTGGGTGGGCTGAAAGCGAAAGCTCTCCCAAACAGAGACCAGTTCAAAAAAAATTCTCCATCCCAGCCTGGAGGGCCAAAGGTCAGTTTCGCCGGAGAGGACTTCAAAGGCCAGCTTTGCCTTCCCTTCGCTCCTAAAATCCAGATGTCTTTGGCAATTCCGCATGCGGGTCGAGCCCCCCCCCCCCCGCTTCCTCATAGGAATGCCACAAATCAAAGGAATAACAGGAGTTGCAAGGGACCCTGGAGGTCTTCTAGTCCAACCCCCTGCACAAGCAAAAGACCCTATATACAATTTTCAAAGAAATGGCTGCCCGATCTCCAGAGATCCAGCAGCCTCAACTTTTGGAAGGAAGCCGCTCCACCG